TTTCCCTGCTTGTACTACAGTATGTTTAACTCAGGCGGTGTGCATTGGCATGTCTATGGTACTAATGAAACAGATCAGATTATAGCTCTTTTTCCTGACTTGAGATCTGTATGACACATTCGTATTCAGCTTTCTAACTGAAAACAATGACGCAATTAAATCTTCATATGGTAAGACACTGCTACCTATATCTTCTCTCTGAAATATATTCTCTGAGAAATATATTAGTTTTGTAAACATACCTTAAGAACAGATGTTCCTATTCATTGCTAAAACCAAGTGCGTCTTTCAGAGCTACACTGAAGCCACATTGTCATCTACAGCCATTAGAACGTCACTAATAAACACAGACAAGCAGAGATAGCTTTTTCTCAGAATTAAATAAAGAAGGCGAGGCGGGGTGGAGAAAGAGGGAAAGCATTTCTCCAAAAATAATTTTTTTCTAAAATTATTTATATTTTGCAGGCATCGCACTATCATTTAACAAATAAATACCTTACTCTTTTTCAGTAATTGCAATTATCAATTAAGACATTAAAGAATATATTTCTAATACATTTTAGCTGTTCAGCAATTATTTTTCCCTCTAGTTTTATCTTCTAAGAACACCGGAGTTCTAAAAAGGCACTTCTGATTTAACACTGATCTGACAGTTAATTTATCAGGCACTACAGCATTAATGCAGTTAGCGTAAATCACTAACACTGTGACTTGCTCTGACATTTTATGCTGTTATTATCATGAGAAACAGAGTCAGGCTCTGAATCCCATTCTCCTGTGACAGAACGCTGGGACCTTAATCCTCCTTAATCCTGTTTTTGTCATGGTACTTACAATGCTTTTCTGGGATTTCCCAAAAGGAATATTCTATAGTTTCATACTGTGTGTATAGTGGGGTTTTTTTTCTTTTTTTTCTTCTCAGTGCTTCTTTTATATCATGATCTTGCAGAAGTTTTCCAATTAACTTGCATTTCCAAATAAATTTCCAAATTTTGCAAACAGAATAAAATTACTATTCTATTTAAGCTTCCTTAAATCAAGTTGAACACAATAATAATACAGTAAGGTTTTATAAATAGGTTTTAGGCTCACTGTCACTGGAAGCATGTTTTTAAAGATAAATCTACTTCTTGACTTGCAAGATTGTGATTGAAAAAATCACTGTTGGTAAAAGCCTAAGAGAAATACCACTCAGGTCTCTGATAACTGCATTTATCAGAATGATGCTAAATATGAAATAGGCTGATTATCAAGTGAAGTGGCACACAGTTCACCTACAAACATTCTGTAATGCAAAGCAGAAGTTATGTTTCAATATAACAAATGAAAACTTGTTCTTTGTAATTTTTCTGACAAGTGGATTATCATGATGTTTATGTCTCATATGTCTGCCATATCATTGCAGCAGGGTATTTACTGTGATATTTTGAGAGGAAAATAGGTGGAAATTAAGTACATTCCCTTTGATACGAACTAAGTACAAGCAGTGCCATGGCAGAGTCAAACTGGAGAAGGAAAAACAAAAAGACATGGTAGGAAGAGATATATGGTACCCCAAGAGCATAATGCTTGATAATCTTCAATATCTTGGAGAAAGCAGTATAGGTAATTAAGGTTTTCTCCCTTAATTATCGGAGAAACCAGTGCATTTTCCTGAAACACACTTCAAACATAACTTCTTTGTTGTCCAGCCAAATATCTGTAAATTTCAGACAGGATATGAGCCTCACAGATTGCTTTTTGCCAAGGTTCATTGTCACTGTAGGGATGACACTTCTTATAATGGAACTGTTATTGTTAAAAATCATTATTAACATATTAATAGCAACAAACAATACAGATCTAATAATCTAGTACTTATTTTTCCAAAATTAACACAACAGTTTTAAATTAGCCAAGCAATCATTATTCCTATTAAGAATAGTCTATTTTTTTTTTCAGTTGCAGGCATCACTCCTGTTGATAATATGCATCATATACGCTTAAATACATCACATTTCCAACTATGAAAATTACAACAGTCAGGGAGAAAAAAAAATCTTTCTTACCTATGTATACAGTTTTTAGATTCAAGATACGCCATACCAGAAGCAGCATCTAATGAAAATTTCACCAACTGTTTGGTTTTTAGGTCATCCTTCTTTTTTCTCAAAAAGGACAGGAAATCACCTCCTAGCAAAACAGACAGATGGACAGTGAGACATGACAAATAGGGTACTTGCATTTACTTCTCTTAGGAGTGCAAAATCAAACTAAATGCAGCTATTAGCTGTTTTCAAACCATCAGTTTGAGGTTAGCCTAAGAACAAGGAACTCACCTTCCAAAATGCAGTTTCCCTAACTCCCCTTAAATATTAAGTGCTTAAAGTGAAAACTGTTTTAATATACCCGAAATCTTCACCAGTGTACATTAAATTCAGACATATAGAAAAATTGCTGACAAAATCAATTCCTAATTTCTGATAAATATAATTAATCACAGAATGGTTGCTGCAGGGGGTTATAAAACTTGTGAATAAGGAGGTTAGGTCCTAATAATTTTTAATTGATCATTTGCATGGGTGTATCTCAAATTCTACACTGACATGTTTGGAGAGGTAACAAATTGTTTTACTTCTCAGGCAGTCCTAACAGCATATTTGACACTGGCAACTGAAGGCAAATAACTGTTGCTGTGACTTCACAGTCTTCTGTCTTGGACGAACAAAGCTACTGTCCTCTTGTCTGAGGAGGGAAGGGGTCAGCATTGAGGATTTCCAAAAAGGCATTTGTGTTTGCAAAAAAATGTTTCTGAAAACTGAATTGGGACAAAGATAAGTAGGAGAGACATCATATAAACACTGCAATGCCATGTTCTGATTGATATTAACTGTATTACATATTTTTTCTAAAATATACTTTATTGTTCCAGACAAAGATCAAAAAATTGTAATGGAGCTTTCCACATCACCCTACTTATTTATTAGAATGTAGCCAGCCATTGCTCCAGTCTTTGTTTCTCTTCACTTTGCACTGAATTGACCATAGTGATTCTCTTTTGCAAATAATGCACTGTTACACAATTCTATTTGCTGCCTTCTCATCAATGTGAAAAGACACTATCAAAATTTCATATGGGATTTTCTTAGAAGGCCATTCCTATTTATATTTCATACTGCAAGACATAAAATAATATTAAAAGTCTGCTGTTGTGACATGTAACTGTAATGCCCATCAAATATTAAGTTGGAGCAACTGTAAAATGGATTAGCACCTTAACTGTCAATCTATGATTCTATGATTAAGGGACCGTCTATAAAGCCATCATATCCAGACCATTTGTACTAAAAGATACCTGAATCCAGGTAAAAAGAATAAACAGAGCAGTTGACAGTTAAGGTTAATGAAAACTCTCATAAAATTAACACCTAATAAACTATAACCACTGCTTCCATTTTGCTTGATTCCCTTTTTTGTTTTTTTTGTTTTGTAAACACACTGATACTACAGTAAAGCCAGAAAACACTGTTTTCACAGAATTGTATAGATGAGGCTGGCAGGCAACCTATGGAGGTCATCTGGTCCAACTCTCTGCTCAAGCAAGGCCCCCTAGAGCTGGGTGCCCAGGACTATTCCCAAATGGCTTTTGAGTATCTCCATGGCTGGAGATACCAGAACCTCTCTGTACCAGTGCTCAGTCACCATCACAGGGAAGTGTTTCCTGATGTTCAGGAGGAACTTCCTGTATTTCAGTGTGTGCCTGTTTTCTCTCATCCTGCTACAGGGCATGACTGAAAAGAACCTGGCTCTGTCCTCTCTGCAGGTATATACATTGATGAGACCTCCTGAGCCTTGCCTTCTCCAGGCTGAACTGTCCCAGCTCTCTCAGTCCTTCCTCCTAGAAGAGCTGCTCCAGTCCCTTCATCATGTTCGTGGCCTTTTGCTGCTCTGTCTCCAATGTGTCCATGTCTGCCTTGTACTGTGGAGCCCAGAGCTGGACCCAGTATTCCAGGTGTGGCCACACTACTGCTGAGTAAAGAGGAAGAATCATCTCGCTTGATCTGTTGGCAACACTCCTCCTAATACAGTCCATAACACAGGATGCCATTCGTCTTTCCCACAAGGACACATTGCTGGTGTATGTTAAACCCTTGGTGTTCGCAAGGACTCCCACGTCTCTTTCTGCCAATCTGCTCCCCAGCTGGGCAGCCCCCAGCATGTCCTGGTGCCCAGGGCTGTTTCTCCCCGTGAGCTGCAGGACTTTACTCTTCCTCTTGTTGAACTGCATGAGGTTCCTCTGGGCCCATTTTTCCAGCCTGTCCAGGTCCCTCTGGATGACAGCATGACCCTCTGGGGTATCAGCCCCTCCTCCTAGTTTGGTGTCATCTGCAGTCTTGCTGAGGATGCACTCTGCCCATCATCCAGATCATTAATGAAGATGTTGAACAGGACTGGACACAGTATTGACCCCTGAAGCACATTGCTATTTCATGACCTCCAATTTTCTTAATGCTTTGGTTCCAGTTAAACAGGTGAATAAACCTACCTGATACATTCTTTCTTCAGTGACAGATTTCCAGCTGTTTTTAAAAAGCAGTGAACATAACAGCAAAACACAGTCTCTTTAAGGCATACACAGTCTATTTTTCCATTTGTATGAGCAACAAAGCGTTTGTATAAACCACATAATCCAACATTATGGATGATGTAGCTATTTAACTGCCAGACTGCAAGAATACATTTTTCAAGTACAACAATGAAAGCAAAGGTGAGTGATCTTTTTTATTCACAAGGGGCCAGCCAGAACCCCTTAGGAACTACTAAAGATAAAGATTTTTAAGATATTAAAAGAAAAGTTAACCATATGCATGAAAAAATTTAGAAATAATGCATGTTATAAATTTGTTTCTAATATTCTCAGGCAATCAAATGAAGATCCTAATCTTCATCAGTTAGTTTCCGAACAGGATTAAAAGATGCTCAGTTCCTTACACCGGAATAAACCAAACATGCAACAGCAGAAACCTCTAACTTCCCAATGCAAGCCTATCATCAGGAAGTGATTTAGACTTGCTAATTTTCAGTGTTTGGCATGTACTGTATTGAACTTTTAGAGTTCTGAGCAGAACCAGCACAATATACCTTGAGCTGTATATAGTGTATTTTATGCCTATCATCAAAACAGAGTTTAGTAAAATTATCTTAATCTGTCTCAGTCTCAATAGAGAAAAAAAATCAGAAAATTAATGTTTTCAATAGCAGTTCTGTTTTCTTCTATTTATCCTGGCATATAGATTACAAAAATGTCCTTTAAATACTCTGTTCAGTATTGATTTGAAAGCACTGTCTGTTGCAGACAAAAGAACGAAGTGACACACTTGTATATCACTTTAGGTCAAATTCGATCCTCAAATCAAATCCTCATCATTGTGATATGAACATAGTCTTAAGTGTCTGTCCTTTAACTAACAGAATTATTCTTACTAGTAGATTTTTATTTTTACTCTCTACTGTGGCCAACGTTCCAGTTATTCCTCTTCATAGAAAAGCATGCACAAGAATACCTTCACTGATGAGTTAAGAGGATTTCACTACAAACCCTTCAGTGTAGAACTGTAGCTATGTAATACATTTATGTGCTTCTTAAAACATGTTTAAATATAAAAAGCCCTAATCCACTATTTGCAGCACATAGTGTTAAGAGCATCATCTCCAATATAGCAGCTGTTGTTAAAAAATGAAATAAACAGACTAATTAGAATATGAAACAACTGAAACTAAACTAGATGACTACATGCTAGTAAGTAATGCTTTCTCTTATACATGAAATTTCTACTGTATTCTACATGGCTACCTGTTATTACAGTTAATGGCATTCAACACTATCAGGAAATAAGGTTTACTCCAACCACTCTAAGTTCTACAGAAATAATTAGCCCATTACAGTAATATCACCAAAGACAAACTGACTGCCTGTTTGGGGTTTACAAGATGATAAGTAACAGTACGGGAGTGTCTGCCTCATACGATAGAATTATTTTACTAAGTAGATGACAAAATGTACTACACAAGCAAAAGGTCCATGAGACGGCCTATAGTAATTGGATTCCTGAAAACACTCCTTTATGTATTTCACTGTAAACGTGAACTATTTCTCGTCATATGCAGAAATTTTAAAAGTACCACATACCAGCATCTCCTAGTGTTGGCCATACTTTATAGTATAAACTTCATGTTGTATGTTAAGTAGTATTTTATGGCAATATAACAATTCCATTAATGGTGCACACAAAAGTAAGCTGATGTTTTGCAAGAGAAGAAAAACTATCTATGATCTATGAGAATAAATCAAAATACAAGAAACAACACTGATAAAATTTCTGACTTTAATAGCATTTATGATCAGCTGTGAGTACATAATTTAGTGTTCTCCTGAGCTGGTGGCCAAAATGGCACCGACCTACTTGTTCTAGGCACTCTTGGCATTCTTCTGAATGTCAAGAGTACCAGTATCAACACTGAGCATAATTAAAAAATAGCTTTGAAATTGTGGTGTGAAATCTCCCACTTACTGATTTCTAGATATATAGACATACATTATATATTGTATCTCTATGTGGCATCACTCAATTTAAATAACGTTATGAATAATAATTATACAAATATGAATGTATTGACATAATAGCAATTATTAAGAGTGATATGGAATGATATATTATTATTTACATATAAGTTTTAAAAAAGTGGGAGAATTTCCTTTATTAAACAGCCTTGTTAAGTAGACATTTGTTTAAAGAATCCAGTCAATTCTTCTTAAATTTATACATGTATTAATCATGCTGATGCAGCATGCTTCTGGCTGTATCACTTAATGGTCACCTAACAGAGAGGAGCTCCATGATTCAATATTTGTAATTCTTTTACAAGCTATTATAATATTATTGAAATTACCTTTATCTGCACCTGTGAGTTTTTATAAATTTGGGGATTCATATGGTGAGCCTTCTGACTAATGTAAAGAAATACAGCGTTTCTTTATTGCCTAGTATCTTACTCCCATATACATTATCAACAAAATAAACCCAAACACAGTTACTTAACACTATGAATTTAAAAAAGTAAATATGCATCTATAGCAATTGTAGAAGACATTTTTTAAAGAAAGTAAGCTATTTGACAAACTATTAAAAATT